CTGAACATATTGCCAGGATTATGTTGCTTACAATTTTCATCACATTGCGCAGGTGGAAATGAGTTCTCAGCAGTTTCCCCGTTCTGGAGCCCCTCCTGCAGGACTAGGACAAGCACCACCCCCAATTTCAAACAGTGATTTCTAAAGCCAGAAATGTCTGCTATTTTGGCATCCAGGAAACAATTTCACCATTCACACTAATACAGGTGTTCATGTGTAGTGTATCAATGTGTTATTAAATAATAACTGAATAAAATAATATTACATAAATAATTAAAAACAACATCCATGTTTTGATTGTTTTTTATTTGGACCTCAAGTGTGTAGTTGGCCCCCGAACTGCTGTTTGATAGTTAATGCGGCCCTCGGGCTGAAAAGTTTGGAGACCCCTGGTCTAGATGATGCTTGGTCATGTCTGAGGGCAGGGGACTGAACTTGATGACCTCTTGAGGTCCCGCCCAATTCTATGATTCACCCTGCTATGCTACGAAGTGGCACTGCAGTGTAACCCCTCCCCCCCCATAACAAGCCCTTCTTCCAAGCAGCAGTCATGTCTTCAGCTGCTTCACTCCCTCTATGCAGAGGGTCTGGGTTATGGCTTTGTTTTTGTGGTGAGACTGCTATCTGGCAGGTGAGATCTGGCATCTCATTCAGTGCTGATGCGCTTAAAGAGCTCATTCTTTCAAACGCTGAAATATCACTGCCTTCTTGCTATTATTTATTAATTCTCAAGCAGCTTTAAAGATACTGGGAAATGGCAAGAGAGCCTCTTTGCTGTTTATTTACAGGGGACTCGGAGTGAAATGAGAGGTCAGGTAACTTATAGCAGCAGCCATGGCAAGCAGGCGTTACGTAGCTGCAGCCAGAGGACGCGAGCTTCCGGTGAGGTCACAAGACACAAATGGCAGTACCTGCAATGATGTGGAGGCTGCACCTATCAGAAGACCCAATGACTGCGCCACCAGTGATGTCATTGTCCCCAGGGCTGCAAACAGAACGAATCGGAGCGCATCTGACGGCTGGGAAGTCATCCAATACACAATGCTGCAATAGGCTACAGGAAACATGATCTGTAGAAAGACCCATCAGAAGTTACGACACTCTAGAGTCATGCCAAAATTGGTACTGAATGTTCAGTGTTGCTGTAAGAATATAAATATCTAGGAAGTATCCTACTTCGCCCACCTCTCTCATCCCTCAGTGCTGCACTCAAAGTGACGATGCTCAGAGGAGTTAGCATGTCCACTCCATCCTATCATGCATGCCCTGCTCCTTCTGCCCAAGGCCCTATCAAACCTATCATGTCCTGCATGTTACCTTAGTCTCAAAAACCAGCTGCCACTTGCAGGCCTGCCAATGGAGGGAAGGGAGGAGGGAGAGAGAGGGAAGGGGGGCGGAAAAGGGAGCAACATCCCCTGGGCCCAGAGATACAAAGGGGTCCGGAGCTCCCAGCCACCACCGCTGCTACTGCAGCGTGACAGGAGTCCCAGCCCCTTTAAACTGCTGCCAGAGCACCACACGGCGTACTCTGGGCAGCACTGAGAGCTGCTTGGGGAAGATGCACCATGCTCTGGGCAGTGCTGAGGGCTGCCTAGCCCTGCTCCTTCTGCCCAAGGCCCCCGGCCTTCCAGGGGCACGAATCAGGGCCCCCTCACCTTGCCCAGGAGCCTGATGAGGCCGAGAGCCAAGTAGGCCACTTGCTACTAGCCCTTTGCAGCCATTGAACACAAAAGGAAATGAAAAGTCCCGGTCTTTTTTTAGTTTATTTATTCAAGATTTCTGTGAGGTCCTGCCATTTATTCCCAATCGGGTCTTTGATTGAAGCCAGAAAGCACCTACGCTAACACACAGGGACAGTTTTCCACTCCTCTGGTATTCAGATGATATAAAAATACTGGTGAAATGCTGATACCTACTTTATTTGCAAGTGAATATAAGAGAATGTATTGTAGTTCATTTCAAAGTAAATACCTGAAAAGGGACATCAGCCATGGTTTTAGCTAGGTAGTAGGCCTTCAGACTGTACCAGTAGTTCAGATGCTCTCTGAGGAATACTCCCATCTCAAGAGGAACTAGATAGCATAAAAATTAATATGCTGGTTACTTACACTGTTAGGAGTGTGACATTCTTGTGTATAATAATATCCCACACAGCTGTAACTCTGAAATGCTGCAGTGCAATCCTGCAATGTGTCCCGAACTCAAAAACAATTGTCATACCAGCAACACACTCTCGGGTCTCTTGAGGCACAAGAGGTCAGCCTGGAGAGTAGCTCATTGTCCAGATACATGCCAGGCTGCTCAGATAATAGCTCGCCCCCACCAATGTTGTTAAATTTTCAAAGCCACAAGTCTTTTCTCCTGTCATGGGGGAATCTAAGCTGACAGCCTACTATGTAAAACCCCACAGTCCCCTCTCCTGTTTATGGTAATAGCTCTGTAGTTAGAGTCACAAGTTAAAAAGTTTAGGGGTGTTATTCTAGGCCCTATCCATATGCATTGCATGCACACGATACAGGGTGACATCACGGGCATCTTCCAACCATGGCAAATTCCAGACTAGAGCTGGAAAAGTTTCTCTGTCCTACGCAATTAGACCTTGAGCTGAATGAGTAGAAAATTCACTCCAGGTGCATCATCACTGCACTATTTTGCAGGAACAACAGCCATTATTTCGGAAAAACAATACTAGTGTACGCACAGCAATTGCGTTATTTCAAAAGAAAATCGAAATAACAGAGGGCTTTTTCTGACACGTGTTATTCCTCATGAAATGAGGTTTACCACTCTTCTGAAAAAGCTTTTTCGGGAGAGGGTGCGTGTGGACTCTCCACTGCTGCTATGTCGAAATAGCTCCTCACCAGGACCATTCTAAGTTATTCCTCCCCAGTGCCTCCTGGGGTTCTAACCTGAGATAGTGCATCCACATTAGGGGAGCCTGCCTCAGACTAACTTTGAGGCTTCCCTGTAGTGTGGATGCTCTATTTCGAAATAAGCTATTCCAGAAGATATCTTCTGGAATAGCTTTTTCCAAAATAAGCTTGCAGTGTAGACATACCCTTAGACATTTTAATTAAGAATAAAACCAAAAAGTTTGACATGAAATAAACACACTCAGATACTGTTTGCTTCACTCCAGTTAAAGTAACTTATTTACAAAAAATATAGCAACAACATGGTCAGTACTCACACGTAAGGACAGTTGGCATGAGAGCAGCAAACATAAGGAACAACATGGAAAAGAAGAGGAAGCCAGAATTGCTTAAGACTTTCTTAGCTTCGTTTCCAATTCCTAAATATAACAAGCCTATGAGAAGTCCAATTCCAATGTGAGATGTGATCCGCAAATGAGTCAGGACCTAGAGCAAGGAAAAGTAGTATTTCTGATCAGCATGTTTGGATCTAACAGCTGCCACGCCACACATAAATTCAACTAAAATAGCCTTCAAAAATATTAAATAAATCCTAAAATGAGCTACTTAGAAATGGTAATTTTCTGTCAGTGAATTGGGCTTCAGATAGACAAAGCTACATGAATGGAATTTCTAGATATACGCTTGCCAATCAGACACAAAGATCACTAGAAAACAGAGAAGTTTGCTTTTCGGGCAAAGGCTGAAAAAGAGGATGTATCCAAATACTTTTGACAACCTCAGTGTAGCCACGGGCATACTTCCTCAAGACAGGCAGACTTCTCTGCCTAACAAATAGCTGAATCATAATAGAAAGGGCTTTGAAAGCGAGTCAGGCAAGTTTTTTTTTATCTTATATTGATGAAAAATTCATGGGACATAGACTACCAAGAGTTAATCACTCAGTAATTCAGTATTACCAAAATAAATCTGGCACAAAGTACAGAAACCAGAAGAAAATATAGAATAGTTATGTATTTATGATTAGACAAAAAAGAAATGTCCTTAAGTAAAGCTATTAATTGCCCCATTTGGGCATCCCCCTGGGAAGAGACAAGGAACCTATTATATAATGATATGGCAGTCATTTGAAGATATCTGTGGGAATTAAAAATATTTTTTAAGAGGATAATGCCTAGTTGAGTAATCTGGAGAATCTGAAACTGGATATACCTTTTTGGATGACATCATTCATAGACAATAAGATTAATTAGGCTATGTCTAGACTAAAGGGCTTTTTCCAAAAAGAGTGGCTTTTTTTTAAAAAATTCACCTGCGTCTAGACTGCCGCCGCGTTCTTTGGAAATTAAATCGAAAGAACGCAGTGGTTTTTTCAACAGCAGTAAACCTCATTTTATGAGGAAGAACGCCTTTTTTTGAAAGCGCTCTTTCAAAAAAAGGTGTTATTGACCGCAAACAGGGCTTTTTCGAAAGAGAACATCCAGATTGCTGGGTGCTCTCTTTCGAAAAAGCGAATTGCTTTTTCGAAAAAAAAGTTGTGGCTGTCTAGATGATCTCTTTCGAAAGAGTCTTTTGAAAAAGCTTCTTTCGAAAGAGGCTTGTAGTCTAGATGTACCCTTATAGTGCCTTAACTAAAGATTTTAGTTTACCATAATCAAATAGTGGGAACTTTGACCAATGGAGGCAATGGCCCTGGACTGGCACATGTGGAAATGCAGGCTGCTCTGTTTCAAAGAGTGGTGAAACTCCTAACACAACATAGTCATTTAGAGACACAAAAGGAACTCTAGCTTAGTGCCCTGAGAAGTGCCCCAAAGTTCCTTACTGCTGTGCAGGTTCCATACACCCTAACATGTATGTAATGCTCACTGACTAATCTCCCTAACTGGCAAGCTATACAGTACTCAAAAAGAACAAATTTATGCCAATCCTCCCTTGAGGACACTATAATTAATAACAGCCTAATTTTCCTTTGCCTTGCAGTTTGTGGAATCATTTACTCTAGTGCAACTTTGTACTCACTTTGCAGCAGTGTAATGACTGCACAAGGTGTAGGGTAGCAAAGCCGCAGATGGGATTTTTCAGATATTTTCACTCTGGTACCATAATTACTGAAACTCAAAATACAACCTTTGTGTATTACAATTCTGTGCCGATCTGCATGCACACATGGTGGATGCTGGAATTCAGCTCAGGACACTGCATCACCAGTACTCAAAAAGTGCCTTTGGCTACAAAAGTACAAAGCAGCCTTACCGAATCCCTCATGATGGTGAGAAAAGTTCTTTTAAACAGGATGCAGAACTGGGTGAGGCAGCTGGCTGAGAAGCTGTGGCAGCCTTCTGTGGATGAAGAATCCTGAGGGGACAGACAACACAACAAACTAACCTCCTTGTACTTTTCACTAACAAGCCCCAGTTCCACACAGCAGAACATACACATCTCTCCTCTACTTAAGATTTAGCTTAATTCTCTCAGCCTCCCTCCCCTTCAGAGCTTTGCATTGATTTACCTCTTCAGAGGGTCTGTGCCACAAGAAGGGGTTCAATTCATTCTCACCACCAGCATCTCTCTTGAAGTCTGTGCCGCACATCCCCTCTCGCGCTGCTCTTACCAGCCGACTGTTCTGGTCCCCGTATTCACCAGATGCAACCTCCATCACTACACAGAGCATTCAGAAAAGACTTACTCATTCTACACATGCATTAGTTACAGGCTTGGCTAGTGGGGCTACTGTCAATGACAGCTTTTGCCACTGATTGGGAGCAGAGGCAGGCCTTAAATGCACAATACTGTATGTAAAAAGCCTGCATCTTTTCCTGCTGCTAATACTTGTTAAATAAAACATTTTAAAGGAAATATAGTGAATGTATGTCTACCTGAGTACCTGTTATATGGAAGGCAGTCCTGTTTCTTGTGGTCCCTTCTGCTGCTTTGAAACACTTTGCTATTACTATAGAATGTTGCAGTATTGTTTTTTCAAGGTCTGTGGTGCTTCATTAAAAAATTTAAGTTTATAGGAGTGACACATTCTGTCTTTCATCTCCTACAGTTTGCATCTCAATCCAAAAAATCACTAATAAATTCCACCACTAGATGGCATTCAAATTATTTACAAAAACAGGAGACCCATTCCACACTGACATGGTAAATTATAGGACAAAAGCCATCACTATTTCGGTTTCATTCAGAAGAACTAATCAAAAGCAAAATGATTCAATTTTTCCTTACCAAAATCTGCTGGATTGTGGTAGGTTGGACAGTTTAAACCCAAATCTCTCAAGTATGGGACAAGGTTCAATACTTTCCCACGGTAGATACATTGTCCTTGACTTAAAACATAGAGCTAAAAAATGAGAGAGAAAATGAGAAACCATCAGAACCTTTGTACATGTCTACCTGCTTTCTGCATAACAGCAGCTGTAGTAGTCAATTAGCAGCTACTTGATTTGGAAGAATATAGTAATGGATTGAAAAGACCGGTCAATGCTGAACGTGGAACTACAGTTAATGGAAACTCTGCAGAATGTGAGAGATGTTCAAGATCTGAACTCTGCAAAACAACCCTTTCAGGATTTGTAGTGTACTAGTATAGAAACATCATAATTCACCCTTTATATACAGGCTTCAAAGTAGACTGGAAATGGCATGATTGTGCCATCTTATATCTATATAAATATTTTATTCAAACCTATCACTCCAGTGATCCTGATCTGGGACATAAATGTATGATTTTGTATTATCTCCAGCTTGCACCAATTATAGATACAACATGTTCAAAGAAATATATAAAGAGGAGAATTTCTGAAGGGTACCTGGTCAAACAACTCAAACAGTTTGGCACTTGGTTGATGAATTGTGCAGATGATGGATCTGCCACCCTGGGCTAAAGCCTTCATGAGCGAGACAACTTGAAAACAAGATGCACTGTCCAAGCCACTAAAAATAAAGACAAAAAGGTGTTTATTAGATCTGTGATTCTATATGCAACTGTTAAAAACAATGTATGCACTACGATGTTTCTGTCATAAAGATGCATTTTGTAAAAAGATAGTAATCATCTTGCCCTATACCACACAGCATTTCTGGGTTTGTATTTCTCTCTTCCTCTGGCCTTTTCCTTTACCAGGCATGCATCTTAATTAAAATGGGAATGTCTCAGAGCCACCTTATGCAATTTTCAAATTCTATGTTAGTGGGCTCTGATTAATGATGCTCACAAATCTAACAGTCTAAGGGCCAAATTCTACTCTCAGATACACTCTTGTGGCCTAACTGATTTAGGACTATCATGGGTGTCAACCTGAGGGCAGATCTTAAAACTAAAAATGCAATTATAAAAAATGTTTACGCTAATTGTCCATCATTACTTAAAGGGAAACTATGCATAATAATCTGAAGATTTTTTTTCTGTCTCTAGGATTTCTCTGAATCTCCCCCTTCTATATTGTTTCCCTAACAACCACTTTTAATAGACCCATGTCACGACAGGTTACCACAGTAACCCAGTGCACTATCTGGTGATCCCATACAAATTATTCCTTGGGGCCCGCATTTCTCTATCGTTTCATGCAGGGGTAATTCAGTTGCTCTCTATGGTATTATGCCAGAGTAATCTGGAGTAACACAGAGGAAAATCAGTATTAAAAAAAATCGGTATTAAAAAAATGTAGCTTTTACTGATGTTGACACAAATATTTTAAATAAAATGTACCAGAAGCATTTGCTAACAAAGAAAGGTGAGTACAGCAAACATGACACTACATAACGTGATATAGCATATAATCAAAGGAAAGTCTAGATTGTCTTCTGTTTCAACTATTCTAAGATGCTAACAAGGACTAGTACATTCTATGATGGTTCTCTAGCACATGCAGGGAGGAGGGGTGGGAAGGAAAGGGGGGGGGGACTCACAAATGCCGGTAGGTCCCATTTAAATCAATGGGGGTTAGATACCTAAATACCCACAGTAATGGGGGTTTCCTTTCTAACATTTGGCCTTGATTTACCTGGTAGGTTCATCAAAAAACATAACTGGAGGGTTGTTCACCAATTCCAAAGCAATGGCAAGACGCTTCCTCTGGCCCCCAGAAAGACTTCCAGTTCTTGTATTGGCACACGTCAGCAAACCCAGGGCTGTTAAGATCTCCTTTACCTGGGGACAAGTTCAACACAACATGGGTCATTTTTATTGTTATCACCTCCCCGCCTTCTCTCAGCATTATCACTATTTTTTCTCTTAAGGATGAAAACAAAGCAGTTGAACCAATGTTATCATTTTTATCTTCTCAATATAATGTCAGAAGAGTTGGATTTTTCTGTCTACTAGGTTGATCGAGTTCCAGAGAACTTCATTTATCATTATGGCCCAAAGTTTGTTCACTTCTCTCACATGACTAGTCCCATTAATTTTAATGGGATTTCTTCCTTGTATAAAGTGGAATTGGACCTCTAATTGTTATATTTCTTTGATTTGCAATCAGGACTTGGGCTTGTCCTCAGAACCCAATGTCAAACAACTTTATGATGTATGAACAGATAATATATATCAGAAATAAACATAACCTCTTTTGTAGATTTTCTACATTTTTATTTACAAGGGAACAGTAGAATGGAATAACAGGACTCAGTAGTTTCTCAAGTGTATTAACTTATTTTCATCTAATATCTCTGTCCCTCAAGGCCTGCATTTTTACAAGTGACAACTGATTTTGGGTGCATCCATTTTTCCTGGGGACCAGTCTGGAACACTCCTAGAGCTTAATCTTCACAGGCAGTATAAGAAGGGTATCATACAGGTTCTCGGGACTTTACGTGGGTCACAAACACCTGTAAGACACAATCTGTCCCAGTGTCTTGGGGGACAAGAGAAGAAAAGTACTGGCTGCCATTATTCTTTTCTTTCTGCAACTGTGGGCCTGATCCTGTAACCCTGACTCATGAGTATTTCACTGATTTCAATGGAACCACTAAATAACCAAGGCCTACCCTGGTCAAAATTATAATTTGTGATCCCCAAAGGAGCACAGTTACTAGGCTATGACATTGACACCACAGTGACGTGCAGGAAGAGAAGTTTAACATGGTGGCAAGTATATAAGGGCCTGATTTTGAAAGGTGCTGAGGCCCTGCAACTGCCACTGTGTTGATTCTCACTCACTTCACTGGAAAATGCAAGTGCTCATCTTTCTGGATTAGGTGCTATGAGAATAATGAAACACTTAAAAAGTAATGCAAAATTCTACAGAAAAATAATATTGTTGACGATAAACCATTAGGACCACTGGCACAAAAAAAAAAAAAAAAAAATGGGTGGGTGGGGGTGTCTTTATTCTGTTTTCATATAGTATTAGGCTGTGTCTACATTGGCACCCCTTTCCGGAAAAGGGATGCTAATGAGACAAGTCGGAATTGCAAATGCCGCGGGGGATTTAAATATCCCCCGCGGCATTTGCATGAACATGGCTGCCGCTTTTTTCCGGCTCGGGGTTTTGCCGGAGAAAAGTGCCAGTCTAGACGGGATCTTTCAGAAAATAAAGCCTTT